AGCCAGGTCCAGAATCACCCATAAAATGGAGGAATTGTTCCAACAATGTCCCTGAGAAGTTTCATAATTTTAAAAAGAAATCCAGGGACAAAATCTGGCCAGCTCTAACCTGACTGGCTTGAACTGTGCTGCAATGGGTAGTTCAGCAGCGGAGCATGGGTCTCCATGAACCTCAGCTTTTTCTTACTCCTGCAGGTAGGATCTTCATAAAGGAAGTCATCTCCATGCTTCGTGCAGGTAATGAGCAACCAGGAGTCAGCACCAATGCCAAGCAGACCTTGGCATCTTGTTTATCTCCAACTGAATAAATTAGGATGGACATAAACACCTCCAGAGCTTATTTGGTGGGAGTGAGGGAAACCAAGGTAAAGTCCTTGGGCAACAGCTTAGGCCAGGTGTGTGGTGAAGAGGTACTTGAAAAACTTGGCAACTTATTTCGGATTCCACCTGGAAACTTGTGCAATTACTGACTGTTCCTTCACCTTGATCTGGGGAAATTCTCTTTTTCATTGCACCTATGTAAAGAGTCAACTACTCAAAAACTATCCTTTCTTTGGGAGAAAAAAAAAGAAGTCTACTGTATCCATCTACTATAGATGTGATTTTTGAATAATATAGATGATTTTCTGTACTTTAAGGCTTGGTTTTATTAAACTGAGGCAAACCAGGAAATCTCATCTTTTCTTCCTCACTGGCTACCATGAAATTTATCCATGAGTTACCTAGGACCCTCAAACTTAAGAGAGGTGGAATTTTAATTCCAGGGCTGAGGCAGGTCAAGAGCCAGGTTTATCTTTCAGCAGGGATTACCTATGGTTTCTACTAGATTATTCCTGACATGTGGCTCATCATATTACAGGTTCCCCAGAATAAATCTATCCTGAGTTTAGGAGGTGTGTAGATTAAAAGGCTGCCTTGACAGGCTATCAACAACTTCACCACATCATATAACAAGAGCGAACTTTAAATCTAGCATTTTGGCTACCTTTGAAACTCACAGAGAAGCCCAGTCCTAATATAAAATCTCTTAGTGGTTCACATCTGGGTTTTGTAATTGTCATCTGAAAACAAATAGTGGTAGGAGTGATAAAGTGGCTGGTCATCTCACTGGAATTCTATTACCCCAGAGCAGCCTTTTTCAGTGATTAAATAACATTGGATTTCTCTCAATATGAATCAAGGCTGAAAAAAGTTTCATGTTCAGCTTTTAAACTGTGTTTTCATAGTCAATTTATTTTGTTTTTAAATATGTTCCCCTGCCCTTGCTTTCCCCCTCCCCCCCATTTTATTTAGTATACCCTAAGCAGGGCTCCGATTTCTCCTCATCCTGCCATGATTACAGGCAGAGTCCTCTGCCAGGGATTCAAAAATTGGTGGATGATTCCCCCTGGGCTTATAAGCTCACTGTTGTTCGCCTGCTGTCTTGGGGGAGATGAAAAGCAAATCCATGAGCTGCCAAGAATTACACCCAGGCAGGGATGCAGTGCTGCGAGAGCTGGTCCCTCCTTGGCAGCCAGGAGACAGAAAATAACCTGGGACAAGTTCATGGGGTCACACCTTGGCCCTGATGGAGACCCCCTGTCCCCTCACGGGGAACAGAGAGGGATTCAGCCGCAGGGCTGCCGTCCATTTGCAGTGAGCTGAATGAACAGACCCCAGCCACAAATCACTCAGTATTTTAACAGGCTTTGGGAGGTTTCTCTTCCTCGCTTTAACCCTTTGTGGGAACTCAGGGCTTGCAGAAGACGGCCGGTGGGCAGTCTTCCAGCACATGTGGTGTAAGGCTGCCTGGCGCAAACTTGCTTTTTCCATGTCCCAGCCAGGACTGAAGGGACAGGGAGGACCATCCCCTTCACCTCTCAGGTCTGGGGTCTCCGCTACAGCTGCCCTCCAAGGCACTCCTCGCCAGTGGTGTTTCCCATCACCTGCTCACCAAATGGGTCCCCAGTTTGGCACCAAGCCATTCCCCAAGGAGGCCAGGACCTGGCCGTTGGTGATCTCACATCTGTCAGAGCACAGGCTCTGCAGAGGACCTGGCTATCTCACAGGTGTCAGATCATAAGCTCTGCAGCCACCTGCTAGCCCCCAAGCCATCTGAGCTTGCCCAAGTCCTTGCAAATTTCTTTCACACATTTTTTTAGGTTGCCACAGGGAGGGCCAAGGGGAGAGCTTTTGAGTCACGTCTGGCAAAGGAGAGCCAAGGTGTTTGTGCCCCTTTCTGAGCACCGGGGAGGGGGATGGTTGCTGCATCTCCATTATTTCTCCTTGTATTTCCTTGCCTGTCCTGCTCCAGGCTGGTGTATGGAGAATGATCTATTCTCTGGCAGAAAAACCTGTGCTAACACAGGGAGAACTCACAGGGAACAGGAGCTGTAGGCCGATGATTTCTAACCTTCATCATTTCTTTCTTCTCCCCCTTTTTCATCCCACTCGGCAGGTGGCTGAGAAAACTCCTCTGGGCTATGTGTCAGTGAAAGGCTCTTAGTTTAGCTATTGGGAGTAAAACCATGTATAAAAAGTAAACACAAACTTCAGCCCTAACTGCAAATGCGGTCATATCACTGACTGGCTTCAGCTCTGTAGAAAATCTCAGGGTAACTGGTCCCAGAGTCAGGTTTCGAGCATGAGCTGAGGGTTAGACTGGAGTCAGTGGGATTGCCTGTGCAAGGAAATGGTGCCAGACAGGAGCTGGGCAGTTGACTCCCAAAGGGCGAGACACAGCTGGGGACTGCAGTTAGCACCAGCAACCTGTCCCTGGTCTATAGGTTGTATTTGAGTGCTCTCTAGTGGACAGAAAAATCAGTCCAGAGGCAAACACAGCTGATGCTCACTCCCCCCTGAGCCTAAGTCACCCTCACCTGGGTGACTGAGGCATTGGGTCTGTAATATCCACATGCCATGGGCCTATGCTGAGTGTCTGGGAGGGTGGTTCAAAGCAGGGGCTTCTTGATCTGTGCCCCTGCAGGGCGGAGGTTTGATGTGGGAGCGGTGCATGGTCGCAGGGGATGCATACCTCGCCGGATAAGAGCTCACTTCCAACCAACCCCTTCCCCATCACATGGCCTTTCAGTGCTTCTCCTTGGGCTGAAGGAAACACCTGCAGGACCTGCTCCCACATGCGCAGTCAGCAGGTAGGAGAGCAGATAGGTACTGTGGAAGGAGAGTAGAAACATTTTTTGGTCATGAAAGGTGGGAAAAAATTATTATATCAACTCATTTATCAGCCACTACTGAGCCTCCAGGAGCCCTCTGCTCTGAAAGCCCTGCCAGTGCTGGACACAGTCGCTCTGAGGGAAGATCTTGTTCCATAGCACAAAGTGATAACCCTCTAGATAGAGCAGAAACTTAGACTACTTTGGTGTGACAGGAAGGTTTTTGTGGAAGTCAGCTCAGGATGCAGGCCACAAAGTGGTTATGTAGTAGGTGCTCCCAGATCAGCAGAACTGTATTACTGAACCCAAATGTTCGAAAGGTGTCCCAAAATCATGAGAGATATAAGGATACTGTATTGCAATTGGGATTTACCTACATCAGGTATCTGAGGTTTGCATTCTGAGAATACTCATAGCATTTTCCTGTTATTTCTGTGAAATGAAAGCTAAAATATTTTTTTATGATGGTGATGGCAAAAAATGAAACAGCCGCTTGACTCATGAAACAGCTACACCACCTATAGAGGTTATATGCAACTCTCCTTAAATATTTTGTTTAAAACCTGGCTTCTCCCTTACCCCTGTGTTGTGGCGGCTACTATTTTAGGTTCCCAGGATGATACTGTCTGTCAGGAAGAGCTCCTCTTATATGGACACGTCCCAGTGCTCAGACATCTTGAACACAAATGAAGCTCCTTCAGCCTCCTACTGAGCTTAATTACTTGCCTCCCATTCATTCTTTTCCTTCAATTTCTAGAGGCCTTTGACTGAAATCAGACTGGCCTCCTTTTCTTTGAGCATCTTTTTCCACTTGGAGCAGTCATCTTTGACCTTGCCTCATCTAGTCAGAAATCACTGAGGCTCTAACACAGCACTGCACGCACCTCCAGTAAAAAAAAATATGGGACTGTATATAGGCAGTTATCTACACAATTTATTTAATAGTTTTGTTATAGAGATACTGCAGCTATGCATAATTTAGGCTATTGAATACTGACTGCATGAATATGTTGATTCAGTTTGGTGAGGGTCCAGAAAGGAAGGGGGAAAATAAATAAATAAATAAATAAATAAATGAATAAATCAAGCAATCCACCAACCCAGTCAGCACTAGAGAGTTAAGAGACAGGAAAAAAAGCCAGCAATCCCAAAGAAAAGAGCCCTGAAACTTCAGAGAGTTTCTTCGCTCATACAAAACTGAACCGAGGCAAGGGAGACCCATGAAGGTGAGAGGAGCAGCTGAGGGTAACCTAAATATTGGTAGGAAATCATAACTTTATTAGTGATGACTGTTACTGGTATTGGTCCTCAGATTCGCTGCACATTCTCCCATAGGCCTTCCCCTACATGTTTCTAGTTGATGATCAGCTACGAGTCCCAGTGCCACTGGGCTTGATGGGTGCACAGTTGACGATCAGCTACGCTAACGAGTCCCAGTGCCACTGGGCTTGATGGGTGCAGGGTCTGGCCAACGCTCATCAATGTGCTCTTTTCTGCGAGGAAAAAAGAAAAAAAAAATGTCCAATGGAAGAAATTTTCTATGTAGCATCCAGAGCAACATGGCAATCAAACTGCAAATATTCTGGGAGGTTTCTTCTAAAAAAAGGCAAGATTATTGCTCAGCTCCAGCAGACAGCTCTATGGGCATATTACAGTTTTCTTCTGTCAGGTTTGATTTTTGTGCACCTTCTATGCCGAGATTCACTCTTCACAGTCAGCACCTGATGAAAGACCTTACCCTAACCTCACGGGTGAGTCAGCCGATTCTTTCCACTACTTCAGAGGTTAGCAACATTGAGGCGTTTGGTTTATTTTCCAATTCCACGATGCTTTTGATGACACGGGCTGTGGAGTTACAAAAATGCTACATATGATGTGAATTGCTAAGAAATCGGATAAATAGGCAGTACTTGGACTTCTTCATGAGTGCGCACAGAGCACACAATCTCTCCAGGGCAAAGACAGAGCCCAGCAGCATGCTGGGGCAGAGCAGATAATTCTGTTTGGGGAGAAAAGCCCCAGTTTTTGAAGCATCTTCACAGGCACTCGGCGATATTTGGCTGGACACCGCTCGGCGAGTGCGAC